ATGTTGATATAAAGATGATGGCATAAGGCAGCGGTATCGGCCCAGTGGCTCTGGATAAGTGGAGAGTGCGCTTCATCGAGGGATTGTAATTGCATGAAAGAGCCCACGGGTGGGGAAGCGATGGTCAAAAGCTTGTCTCACACGTGCGTGACAATGCCTTCCGTACGTCCGGAGAGAAAACTATTCGCGCGGCTCATTTTCTGAGGTGAGCGTATATCAAACCCCCGAGTTTTCACTTAGAAAATAGCTATACGTATATCGGATCTGTCCGGCAAGTCACTACCATCATCTGTTAGCATAAGACAACAATCATGGTTCTTCCATCGTCAGCGACCAGCCTGCGGCGATCTCTGCAGGATCCTCAGGTATTAATCACAGCCCCAGGAGTCTATGACGGAATGTCAGCACGACTAGCACTGGCCGCAGGCTTCGATGCACTGTACATGGTATGCGAGAGATCAAGACATCCCCGCCAAAAGCCCCGAGCTAACACCAACTAGACAGGCGCCGGAACAGCAGCCTCGGTACATGGCCAAGCAGACCTCGGAATCTGCACGCTGAACGACATGCGCGCGAACGCAGAGATGCTAGCAAACCTCTCACCGCGCACACCGCTGATCGCCGACGCCGACACCGGCTACGGCGGGCCGATCATGGTCGCCCGCACGACAGAACAATACGCGCGGTCCGGCGTGGCGGCCTTCCACATCGAGGATCAGGTACAGACCAAGCGGTGCGGGCACCTCTTCGGCAAACAGCTCGTCGACACAACAACCTATACCAGTCGAATCCGGGCAGCTGTGCAAGCGCGCGAACGGATCGGCAGTGATATCGTGATCATTGCGCGGACGGACTCGCTGCAGCAGCACGGCTATGAGGAGAGCTTGGCGCGGCTGCGGGCGGCGAGGGATGCGGGCGCGGATGTCGGGTTCTTAGAGGGCATATCGTCTCGGGAAATCGCTCGCCGGGTTGTGGCCGACCTTGCGCCGTGGCCTTTGCTGTTGAATATGGTGGAGCATGGGTCCACGCCTTCGATTTCTGCGAAGGAGGCGAAGGAGATTGGGTTCCGTATTATCATCTTTCCTTTTGCGACTTTGGGTCCGGCTCTCCTGGCTATGCGGGAGGGGTTGGAGAAATTGAAGCAGGATGGCTTGCCTGGTCTTGATAAGGAGTTAACGCCTCATATGTTGTTCAGGGTCTGTGGGCTGGATGATAGCCTTCAGGTGGATGCGGCTGCTGGTGGTGTGGCATTTGAGAGTGGCGTGGATATAGGGGAGAAATGAACGGAATACCGCCACCTGCTATACCCGGTTCGGGCACAGTTAGTACTCGACGGTGTATATATTTGTCAAAGTTTGATTTTTGTTTGTGAAGGCACTGGCAACTTCCTCTTTGAAATATCGGTCTGTAAATAAGTAAGATCGTCTCCACCAGGGTTCGATTTTCTCATCCACACTCATTACAACAGTACCAGGAAGTAGTTGATTCTTTGAAGAGTCTTGAATTATTCGGGTCTAATCAAATTTACCGTTGAAATGTATAGATCCATGTGGTTTTCTTTCATGGTTAGGGTAATTGACAGGCAGATTTAATTTCCCACAGCCAATAAGACATGTTGCAGATCGACCGAACCAAGGATCTTCTCGTATCAACCTTGGTTTTGTTTTATTTACGATTTTTCAACACTACAAGGGTGTACTTGGAACATAAATACATGTAATTTTAAGATAGACATAGTATGTTGTAAGAGATAATCTAAGACGCTCTTTCCCTGTCAACCGCAATTTACCCGGAAGCCTTCCTCCCTTGGCTCTTTCCTAGAATCGCCATTAGAGAAGACAAGACCAGATCTTAGATGCGCAGAATAGTAGACTCTGTAAACCACCAACCTTCTTCAACCACCAAAGTCTGTTGTCGAGTTCTTACACGAAGTTTTCTTGGCCCCGGTTGGGAGGCCAGGATATTGCAAGCAGTTTTTTGTTTGACCTTCTTATCTGCTGGAGCATGACAATGACCATTGCAGACCTCGCCCGTGGTTGGGCTTTCAGGTAAAGTACACGGAAAGCCCATGTGTCCTGTCACACTGGAGATGGCTGTTTCAAGCCTTCGTGTGCATAATTACTGATTCATTATCCGTAGGTTGCTTGGCCCGCGCCCTCCAGCCCGACCAGAACCAGAGCCCTCCGACTTCGCCTTCAGCGCCTTAATGCGCTGCCGCCCATCACCCTCGGCCACTCTGTGAGTTGCGGCTGCTCATGCTGCCATACTCGCCGGTTTAACCGGATGACTCCGTTGGAGGAAGGCCAGGTCTAAATTGTAAGTAAGGAGTACACTTCAGCATTAACACGAAGCAGATATAAAAGCCATTTACTTGCATTTATACAATATACATACCAAGGCCTGAACAAAGCGAAATTCTCTATCTGCAATTGCCTGGCAATGGAAAGGACTAGCATTGTATCTAGAGTTCGATGAGCCATCAATGCCGAAATTCAGGTTTTTTCAGTGTTTCTTTACTGTTTCTTCACTTTTTCTTCACTTTTTCTTCAATTCTAGTTCACTTCTACGGTCTTTCCATTCACTCTTATCCTTACTTGAATATACATAGCGGGAAGTCCAATGTTACCTTTGTACCATAGTGAAACCAATTGTGATATGGGGCGCAGGAGTCACCATATCTATGCAACCTTTCAATTTCAACGCATAAACCACTGTCAACCATACTGGTAACATGTTATATTTTGGGGATTAGTAGTAGCTACCCGTCTTTGTTATAGAGTAATATTCGGTTTAGAAAAGTAAGCAACCGCCGAGGAAGTAAAACCAGGGTGTAGCCGTAATCAACCCTTTGGATCTCATCGTTGACTTGCCGCCAAGATATACAACTCCGCCTGAGGAATCGCGAGGGAGCAATTGGAAGAACTATTTGCGGGGATCTTCACGCTAACGTTGTCCGAGAGCAAGAGCCGGTCAACTGTTTCAGAAAGTCATATTTGCTGCTACTGTTCCCAGTTTTGTGTCGCTGTTATAGCCCTTTCCATAATCTTCCTACGTACTATCCCATCAAAGGTTTGAAGTTGTTGTACTCCGGTGAGTGCTCGTTGTCAATGAAGAGTAAGCTCGCATCGCCAGCATTGCATAGTTGATCTGCCTTATCCTTAGGTTCTGTCAAATCGGTATCGGAACCACATGTCTTCTCGCTTAGAATCATCGCTATCGCTAGATGACTCGAAGTTTTGGAAGGCAGGGGGAAGGGGTTAAGGAAAGGGGAACTATGGAGTAGAACGAAGGTGCCAGCCAAGCCGCCGCTGAGGTCCGGTAGAGGGTGCGTCGGTATAAATGCCGAGGTGAGTAGTAGAACGGTTGGCAAATAGGCGGCCAAAAACGGCCATTTCTCTAATTTTAAGTAGTAAAGTGAAAGCTTCTATATAACAAATATATAGGAACATATATATACTATATACATTCAGAGAGTATAATAACGATATATGTTGTATTGTATTTTAATAAGAGAAGGGTTTTAGATTCAAGGGCCTGGGTACCTGCATCAAGTGAGGAGTTTGCTAGGGACGGGTTCCTGCACGAATAGCCCTAGTGTTTCAGGAAACGCCTGTAACAACAAAATATACCCCGTATACGAGTACCGGTCATACCGAGGATATAATATACAATATAACTACGGAGTACGGACGACAATGTTGTACTCTGTATAGAATATGGGGCCTTTGAAAAGCCAAGCGCGCTTAAAGTTTTAGTAAGACTAAACACATGAAACCGCCTCACGAGCATCCAGCCCCCAGTTTGCCGAATTTGAAGGCCTGGATTCTCGGGGTGCCAGTTCCGGCGTGTGCCATTTTATGGAGACAACCGGGAGACTCGTCATGTGGGTGGAGAATGGCTTAGACGCTACCAGTAAATACAACAAAATGGGGGTGCCTTACAGAAAAAGATATCGAGGGTCCATCGACCGCGTAGGGGGGGTGGGGGGAGGTCTGGCCGCAGATCAACGGCAGAGATTTGCCTTCCTATGTGCACATCCGTGGATACAACTGATACGATGAGGACAATCCTTATTAATTGTAACAGGGAGTGTAATGTAATCTGTCAGAAGTGCGTTGGGTAGGGACATGGCTAACTCAAGAGTTAGTTGACCATTGTCCACGTAGTTATCGTCGACGTGGTGATGAGTTGTCCCCATTTAAGATTGGCTTGGGATTCGTAAGACAGTTTAGATCCTTGCTGTGCACTTCGCCGATTGGTGTATGTGGGGAATTTCGGATGATGGGGATAGAAGTTGTCTGAAATTACAACATACATATGTAAGTTTGAATGTACAACGTATTTTATACAGAAACGTTGGTCATATTGGTCATATTAAGGCTCATACAACATATGTTATAACTAGATGTTGGGCTGTGATAAAGTCGAGTCATCTCATCCACAGGTATCTAGCATTCCGATCGTACACGTGTTTGACATCAGGCAACTACTCCGTAGGTATAAGTCCGTATGTTGTAGAACAATATGAATCCCAATAATAGGAATCATAATAATAGAACATAATAATAGAGAAGAATAGGAGAAACATCCTTTGAACCCCTTATCCCCCAAGTAACGAGTACCTGCACAGCCGCGATGAGAGGCATAGTATAGCCAAGTACACAATACCAAGAGAATAGAGTCTGGGCCCTTGACAGCCAACCAATCAAACAATAGGAAAAAGGCGCACGGCCGAGAACCGTCAGGAACCAGCCAATCATCAATCGAGTGCCCCTGATATTATGCCCTGGTGGAGCCTTTTTTTGTTTTTTGGGTTCAGGCCCAAGTCCTGACCCGTTGGTGTGTAACTTGGTATTGTACTAATAGTCCCCCCTAGTCCACTTTCTTCTCTTCTTCTCTTTTCATCTCTCTCACACACACATTCATTTGAATTGAATTTTCTTCTCTAGAGCTTTCGCTCAAGTCACTCCTTTTCAAGTTCAATAGTTCAATTCCGCAAAATGCATTTCTCCAACTCTATGCTGTTGATGACGGCGCTGACCGCTGGGTCGGCTGTCGCTCGTCTTCACGGCCACGACCGCCGTCACGCCCACCCCAGAGGCGTCAATGTTGTCGAGCCCATTGTGCCTGCTCCCGCTCAGGTTGCCGATGTTGCCGATGTTGAGAAGCGTGGTGATAAGGTTTCCGCTGTCATCGATGGCAAGCTCGTCTCTTGGATCAACAACTGGTTCGGCGGCTCTGATTCTTCTTCCTCCGAGGTTGCCGAGTCTACCGCTGCTCCCACTTCCGCTCCCACTCCCACCGTCGAGGCCACCACCGCCGCTGAGGCCATCTCATCCGTCAGCGCCACCCCCGTTCCCACTAGCTCCTCCAGCTCCAGCTCTTCTGGTTCCAGTAACTGGGCCAACTACCCCTCCGACGGCAAGTACTCCACCACTGGATTCGGTTCTTCCACTGCCAACAAGCGCGTTGGTGCCCTCGACTGGGACTACATCGGTAATGTCGGCAGCCCCTGGGGTAGCAACATGATCCGTGTCGAAGAGGACGCCGCCAGCGAGTACAAGCACGTTATCCGCTTCGAGAACGACAACTCCAAGGCCTGGACCGTCGTCATGTGGAACTCGTACGGCCCCAGCGGTGGTCTGAACGGTTTCTGGAGCCCCAACAAGGCTCTGAGCTTCACCGTTGAGCCCGGCCACAGCATCTTCGTTGCCATCGATGACGACTCCCAGGGTGGTTGGGGTGCCTCCGAGGGTGAAGGTCTTCCTACCAACTTCGTCGGTGAGTACGCGTCCACCTGGGGTGAGTTCGACATGAGCAACTCCCAGAACGACGGCTTCTCCGGCTGGGACGTTTCCTGCATCATCGCACAGCTCGCCGACATGCACATTGCCGGTATGCAGATCTGCAACCATGAGGGTGAGAAGTGCTCCTCCATCTCTCAGGGCGCCACCAGCGTTGTCAGCGCCTACACCTCCGCCGACCAGGGTAAGCCCGACAAGGCTATTGCCCAGTCCGCCGGCCCAGTCCGTCTCGTTGTCAACCTTGGCTGGTCCTCTTAAATGGCCACGCCGTCGTTGGTCTTTTTTTTTTTTTTTTTCTCCTTCCCATTTCCAGCAATCTTCTCGTCTCTACTGAGATTTTGTCTTTCTTGCGCAAATGGTTCAACGCTGAAGGTGTCTTTGTATCTTCCCCTGATTTGGTGTGTGCGTGCGCAGGTCGCTTGCCCCAGCAACCATCCTGGCCACATATCCGTCCATCTTCGAGCGGCTCTTCGACGGCTACCCTTTTTTTGCTGCTGAAGGGTTCATACATATCTTTTGTCATGATTACTTTTTTTCTTTTTCTCTGTACATATACCATCTGAACCATCTGATTTGAGAGTTGATATCGTTTCCTTTTTATTTTCATTATTTTTATCTTAAAACTAGTTACTGTGTATACATAACTTTATTGTATCTATTAAGCGCCGATACGTATGGATTTCTAAATATATCATCGTAATGTTTCATCCATTATTCCCTGTCTATTCGATCTCACAGGACCATTAGTGCCAACTCCTGTTCGTCATAAACTTGAAACGAACCCTTATCTATTACCAGGTTACTCAAAGGTGATTTGCATATGATCCTTCGGTTATATTGTATGTCTTGCATGATGCCAACCTAAAACCGTCCCATGTGTGTTTCCATCATGGGGTTTGGCATATTGACCGATGGATCTAAATTTGGATCTTCTAGATAGGTCAACCCCGAAGCTTTAATGCACAAGTCACAACTATGACACCATTTTGGCAGGTAAAATTTCAGTGGTCGCATATAGTTATGAGATGTCAAGTCCACATTAGGTTTTGGAGGAATGCCAGGATACATGCAGTGATATCCACCAAAGATGGATGCTTCCAAGGGTTTTCTTTGAGCCTTCAAATGATTATCGTCGCCAGCAAAGAAATCGTAGATTCTTTCTCAAGTTCAATTATGAAGCTAACAAAGGAGATATTTCAAGTAAAGGACCAGATCAAAGACCTGCATTTTGACGGTGGCGAGGAACCATGGGAACGTCAACACACAAGTACAAAGGACAAAAACGCAATGCTATCGTACAGTCTTCGCTTTCACCCAAAATAGTAAAACAAAACACCGACCCCGTAATATCCACGGAACCAGACGCAATGACCTCTTCCAAGGCTTACAAGGCGCCGAGGAAGTCAGAAGCAGACCCAGGATCAATCTGCAGCACACCCGCATCTTCCTCGAATTGCTCTTCTTCCTCGACACCCCCAGTCGAAAAAGAAAGCAAACCCACATGCACCATATACCCAACGAGAGCAGCCGTCCCCGCCACAGCAGTCGCAATAGAAAGCAACATATCCTTATTACTGGAATCCGCATACGAAGACAGGACCTGCTTCTCCACCGAGCTGAACGCCGAATCAGCCTCAACGGCCTTCTTCAACCGCCTATTCTGGCGCACCTCGCGCAAGAACGGCGTGTTATCCGCCAATGTGCCGAGGAGTGTAGACCCGACAGCGGCGACGGAGATGCGCTCCGGTGCGCGCCATGGCAGGACAGCCGGCACTGTGGGCTGGAAAGCGTGCTTAGTCTCGACGGGAGCGTCGCCGAAACAGCGACTACGCATGCGCTCCGTGTACGCCGCCAGCAGCGGGGCCTTGGAGCGTATGGCATCGCGCAGCCAGGGGAAGGCTAGCTCCGGTACGAGTGCTAGCGAGAGGTAGCCCAGCGCGACGCAGTCCAGCGTTGAAGGGTTGTTGTTGTCGTCGGCAGGGAGTAGACAGGTCTTGCTGCGGGCGAGCATTGCTTCGAGTGGCTCGAAGAAGTCGGCTGTTAGGGCTTCTAGACGGAATTGGTTGGTTTGCGCTGTGCGGCCGAGGAGTTTGGAAACTGTTTCACGGGGCTGCTGGATCAGGTTGCTAGGGATTTGGCCGGATGCTACGGCGGCGGAGTGCTCGCGTTTGCGCTGGTCTTCCATTGCTTGTAGGTCTAACGAGGATAGGCCTAGGTGTTCGGTGCGGGTTTTGGCAGCGGTGTGGAGCTTTGGTGGGAGAATCCATTGGTTTGGCCATTGGAGGAGAGAGCCGTAGGCTGGGGATGTGTTGGCGTAGTAGTTCTGGCTGGTTACGTAGAGGTAGAGGTCGATGAGGGATTGGCCGCGGGATTCGATGAAGGTGGAGAAGCTGGAGGGAGAGTTGATTGTTAGTATTTTGTGTTTGTCGCGCCGTTGTAGGGGTTATGGGGTTCGTACGCAACGCTATCGGCTTTTTGCACGTCGTCTAGGTTTTGATCCAGGTTCCATGCTCCCTCCGAGTATTGACGGAGGTAATCCACGATATTGCGGAACCGGCTCACCCAGACAGAGCCATTCTGGAGAGCGGGGAGCTCACCTATTCGTAAATGACTTGTTAGCTATCTGATTCTGGTGATGCTTTTTTTTTTTGTTCCGGTCACGTCACTGACCTGTTGGGGAGACGGAAGGATCGCTGCTCGCGATTAGCTCCCACGAGTCTTTAGGGAGGACCTCGGAACAGTATGCAATTGCAGCAAGGCATTGTGCGTCAATTGAGGGCAGGGAAAAGGCGGGGCCCCATACATGCAGTTGTAGAACCATGGTGGCTTTGCGCTTGGAGGAGAAGGGACGGCCGTGATTGATTTGGGCGGCCGAATCACGTGTGTTTATCCTCGGGTTCTTGATATAAGCCCCGGAGATATTTGGCTTCTCCTGACTACAAAATACAATGTTTATTCATCTCATTCAAGTTGTATATGGTTTTTACTTAAGAAATTTCTCGCAAAATACAGTATAAATTACTTTCTATTCTCCAAAATGATTCGTTCTCATTTAGATATGCACGAGTTACGATGTATAGCTACATGGACTTCCCACGGCCAAGACCTTCAACATCCCCGAGTCAAAATAGAAATACATATGTAAATAGGACCCCGCCAAGGTGTCGTGCGAGACCCCAAGTTTCTTGAATACTATCAGCAACAAAAAAAAGAAAAAAGAAGCCAAGATGTGGCTTGAATTACAAGCTAGGCAGTGCCATTTAATTCCACCCAAATTATCAACAATTAGCTAACGATATCCCGTCTTGGATACATTACAAATGCTCGAGCATATGTTCCGGGGTTGTATGGGTGTCTCGTGGGAGCGAATCGGATACATCTTCCACTTTGCCCCCAGTATACTCGACCTGGTACGGAGTACTCAGGGCATCAATCGCCGGGCAAAAAGTATTGACGTCAAAGCTCTGTGGGCGTCAGTCATACGACGCAGGGCATCTAGAACACAAAGAGCCTCAATATTCACCGCCCCTCGTAGCACAGCCTAGAGAGCTGAGAACCAGCAATGGCGCCCAACGCATCTGTTGTATACCGCTATTTCTCACAAGGTCCATCTCTGCCCAAGACATAATCCTTGGCCATATACGGAGTACCTAGGCACATCACGAGGTTCTGATTACTATATAGGTATCTCCGATTAGAGTGATATACCCAGCGAATGACCTCATTTAGTGCACGTGGCTATACAAGCCAAGGATGACCAGCCACAACCCTGCCAACCAGTGCCTTGGAAGGCTCCAAGGGTTAATTTTCATGAGCACAGACATACCCTAGGGCCTGAGACATGTTGAGGTCAAAACTCCATGATTCATTGATTTGATGAAATATGGAGATTGTCAGGGCAAGATCCGAGAGCGCTGGGGCCAAAAGCTTACTTAAGGTCACTTGACCTTACCAAAATGGCCTAGCTTACTTCCAAGTTTGGAATAACTGGAATAAAAACAACCTTGGAAATAAAATAAAAAAGCCAATCTCATACAATGCATGGAAGAGCCATGGATAACTACGGATAGACGAAGTGTATCGGGTTCCTAAGTTGAGGGGTAGAGGTGGGGGGAGGAACCTTGGAACAACTATCTGCGAGATCGATTGGACACAGCTTGTCGGGGAATTTCTTCAATGACGACAACATGCAACTGTATCAGTCAAGTGACGGGCCAACGGCCACCGAGGATCCCCGCACGCCCGTATGTTGTATGTTGTATGCATTTCTAGGCCCAGCCATTGTACCTAGAAATACTCACAATAGGCTAACCTCCATTTTGTTGTAGTCGTAGTAATAGCACTAAGGTTACTCCATAGGGCATGTACTAAATGTACTAATATGGCTAGCAAACCCCGAAGCGCTCGGACGGGGCCAAACTCGTATCTTCCTTCCTTATTTCTCCGCTGGGCAGCTTAGCGTTTAACCGCTCATATTACGAGCTAATTATATACACGCTAGGGATGTTGCCGCTATATCTAGACTGGTGAACCTTCAACCTGCCGTGTTGGGTGTACAACAGTCTACCCTATAAATATTCACCCTAATTGAATTTGAATTGAATTTGAATACCCATATAGTGAATCCTATATTATACGTATTGTGATAGAAGGCTTCTTCAGTCTAAGAAGGGAGTAAGATCCGATTGTTATATACGATAATCCTCCCAAGCATACTACTTATGTTGTATATAAATATGCATAACTATATCTTTCCCTTACCATTTTAATTCTCACCTCTTGCCGCTTTTTGACCACTAAGCAAAACTAAGCACGTATATGGGCGGTAACTTGACTATTAAAACAAAAAGTTACCAAGGACCTCACCAGGCAGCCCTGGAATCGATCGAGATACCAATTCGCCGAACAAGATAGTCAAAGACTTCCTAAAACCTATCAGTTTGTCTAAAATCCTACCATTTACATTCGTATTTGATGGAAACGGATACATGGGCTGTACAACATAGGGACTTCATGCGAATCGCAATTCCTTTGAACCAACTCTTTACTGTGGTATACTAACTTAAACATTAGGTCGCAATGCCTTCATCGTTTGGAAGATGCTAAGGCCATTATTTTTTCAAGCGAAGAAGATAGTGTGGCTTTTTATCGGCATTTCAATATGCGGTATGGAAGAGGATATCATGTGGTTTAATCCTGTTTTATGCGGTATTTTTCCACATACTTATGTTGGTCACGAGTAATGCCTTAGAAGCACACCTAAAGACATCAATGGGCACCTAGTTAGCGTGTGGCACATAACCTATGTTTTGACTACCTTTAACCACACCGTGTTTTGACTAGTTGCCTTTAGTCACACCGATTGATGCAAGGGAGAATGACTCCGTATAAAGGCCTCGGTGACTTCTCTTATTCTCTCACGCTTATTTCATTGTGTGGTCATAATATTTCCATCAGTCCGCCAATACTCTCGGGGATATAACTTTCGTCGTTGGTCCATCCACCAATCCCCACCCTAATTGCTCTATTTGCTTTACAATAACCAGGCGCCCTTCAGCCATGGCCTACAACACAAACACCACAGAGCAGGCTCCCATTACATTCACAGTCGACCAGTATGCTGAACTCTACGCTACTCAGTTGGGCATTTTACAGGAGATGGGTTTCTGTGACTCTGAAACTAATATTGAGGCCTTGAAACAAGCAAACGGGAATGTAAATATGGCGGTGGACTTGTTATCTAACTGGTCGAGATAATGTCAAATACTGAGATCGATTATCTGGTTGGAACCAATGCATTCAAAGTAAAAGAATGCGATATTAGATCAATATATAAGGTAATAAGGTAAAAGGCGCTTTGATAGAAGATATGCTAATTATTACATACTAATACTACCATACGGTTTCAAACCGCTTTTATATCTAAGATGTTAAGCCCGAGCCGCTCTAAATTAGAAGAAAGATAGAAATAGAAGCAGCATCATAACACAGATAGGGTTCTCCACTCCCTCTTTCGTTATAACGTATATCCTTAATAAGATATAGTGCTCTAAAATTGAGGGCAGTAGCAATACCATCAACGAACTAACTATTATAGTATAGACGACACTTCTAGGTATAGTCTGCGGTCACTGAGCATCAGTCATTCTACACGTGACTGAACTGAGCATGATCACTGATCCCGAGGTCTGAGTCCGTGCTGACATTTACTCCGAGCCTAAGCCTGAACACCCTCATAAAAGCGGCGGCAGATCAAATAGGAAAGCCCCGCTAAGGAAAGCCCCGCTAGGAAAATCTGGTGCGTATAGGTGCATATAATCGTTTTGGATAGTATGGTGTGATTTAACGCCAGGTTAGGGTCGGGTGCGATATGGAATACCCAATCATGCATTGAACTGGATGCGGCAAATGCGCTGTAAATCATAATAGGAGGCTCGATAAGGATCGCGTCAGATCGATCCTATTTCAGATATGAGGGGGGAAGTGCATGCATAATATGCAGGTCTACTAAATTGGACTACCGATCAATGAGTCATATGGATGTGTAGATTCTAAATGGCTCGTATTTGGTTGATTTGCGGGTGAAATATGCGTCAACTCGACTACCGCGACATCCGCCCTCCGTGACATCCCTGCTAGCTTCGGTGCTAGTGATTTTCTGCGGGATGTTGGCTGGTTAGTGAAACGGGCGGTCAGCTGGGTGTCACCCGCAGTCCCCAGTCTTGTTTATGCACGACATATGCATGGACCGTAAGCAATTAATCAAATGAAACGTTTTAAATAGATAATAATAAAAAAATGAATTGCTCTGTTGGGTATACTAAGTCTATGGTACATGTCGATTCAGATTCGGCCAGATGCAGGAGAGAAACGAAAAACAGGAGAAAGAGAAAAGGAAATCCCCCAAAAAAAAAAGAGAATTAAAAAATCATGCGAACAAGCCAGTATGACAGGTCACAGCGCAGACAAGAGAAAAAAGAAAAGAAGAAAGAAAAAATGCCCAAGTCAATGACGGGACGATCGGAAGGCAATCCCAGTTCATCCTTGGTACCCAGACAGGGGCTTGTAGACAAATTCGGATTTTGTCCAATTAATGTGCAGCGGCTGAGCAGCTGCACCTCTCCACATCTGCGCGTCACAGATGGGTCAAGATCGAACAGATGAAACGAACCCCCGCAGAAGACGGGGGACGTGATCAATAGTGCACGAGGTGAAACGAGACAAAGAGTAAGAAGTAGAAAGGCAATTAATGCACGTCGGGGGGGTAGTAGCGCCGGCGCTAGGTCCCATAGCGAGGAGAGTAAGGTTGCTGAAGAGCGAGGGAACAAAGAAGGAAAATGAAAGAGAATTTAAAAAGAAATGTCCGAGGCCCACTTGGAACAAGTTTTTTTTTCACCACGCGCATTGAGCTGTGGCTAGCGGCGCATCGTTGAATTTGAATGCCAAGAGACGAGAATAGACGGTGGAAGAGCTGATACTCTTTGTGTTGTTCGTCTCAAGTCCAACTTCAAACAAACAAGGGCGTCCTTTTGTTCGGGCAGGGGCATGGTGGAAATTAGGTGTTGAAGGTCCGAATCGAAAACAAAGGTTCGCAGGTAACAGTCGAAACTAGGTCGAAGTCGAAGTCGAGGTCGTGATATCCATGCTGAAGGGTCCAGGTCGTGGGCGGATCTGGTGGACCAGAATGCGCCGGTGTCATCATGTTCGTTGAAGAGAGGAGACTGGACTGTTTATTTCGGCAGCGGAGGCAGAGGGCCCTTAGGAGGAGGACCGGGGCATGGAGGGAACTGAGAAGATCCGACGGAAGGCATTGTGAATGGTTTGGAAGGGTTGGAAGGTTGAAAAGGGTTTTGAGTTGATAGTAGTTGTTCAGGTTGACAACAGACTGGAATAGACTTAAGGAGCTAGTAATATGTAGCAGAATAGTGTAGAGTAGAGTTGAGTGGATGGAGAGAAGAAGGGGAAGGAAAAAGGTTACCAGAGCAGGATTCTTATAGAAATGAAAGTCTGCCCTTCCGCCCTCCCCAACCTTTCCGTTCAACCGTCATAAATTCATCCCTAAAAATCCCCATCGAACATCCCTGCCATGAACAGGAGGCTGAGTATCCACCTGATCTGACGTAGGGAATTAATTGGTGTTTTATTTGCTCGAATTAACCCGGTGGATGAATAATACAACCCTAAGTGGGAAATCCAATGGAAAATTCCCATTTTTTTCTAGAAGCTCCCCACTACAACATACCCTTGGTACTTCTAGTGTGGCGCCGTGTGCTTACTGCAAACCACTAGTGGAGGAAGGGGAGGAAGGAAATGAGAAATGAGACATAGTAATCAAACATATATGCCGTGCAACCTCACTATATACATCCTACAGCTGAAAGTCCAGGGTATATGGCCTAACTAATGCAGCTATTTAAATTTCTGCTCAGGTCTCACGAGTGCCCCCCCTCTGTATGTATAGTAAATCATGAAACCACGCGAGATGACAACTGGTAAAGGGCAATCTCCCGTGGGCCCACCAAGGCTCCATAGGGACGGTTCCTTGATGCGGTGAGAACGGCTTTTTTTTTCCTATTTTCTTTTCTTTTTTGAATATTTCTTTTTGTCGTACAAACTGTACCCCTGTAACTGAAATATGATAAATGACATATGCTGTAGGTCCAATCACCATTAATCCTATATGACTCAATAGGAGAAAACAATAAGAAATCAGGTCACAACACGTGCATGCATGTTTGCAGATCCTAACGATGAGAGGTAAAAAAAAAAAAAGCAAAGAAATTAAAATAAAAAGAAAAATGGAAAAAGAAAAAGAAAAAAAGCAAAAGTAAAATATCATTAGGAGATTATCCCATTCATTTTTTGCTTCCCGTCGATTTAGGGTCAAACGGGATGGCCGATTCGTATTGATTACACACTAAAAGGGCGTGACAGCCGAGTTCCCAGAATGCTGGGATTACAAAATAAGGATAAGCCTGTTTATCCTACGGAGTACAACATATGCATTCCTTCCAAATTGATATGATATATCATAGATATTGTACATATCAAATATACTAACTTAACCAGGCTCATATGCACATATACGCCATCCAGATAACAACAGAGTAGTACGGGATCAGGGGCCAAAATGTAAAGGTGGTAAAAAAAAAAGTGAATATGAATATGAAAATAGAATAAATAAAAAAAATAAAAAATAAAAAAATGCAAACGGCAGGGTTAAAATCTCGAATCGAAGACCCATCCTAAACCGTGGTTTTTATCCGTGTCACCCAAACCAAATAAAGTCGTGAGACATGCAAGAATAGAAAGATCCTTTTGGGGTGTAATACATATATGAGTTCCTTAACTTCCAACGGGTTTCGGTTTTAGTTCGGTTGACGGGGTATGTTTATGTTGTATGGCACTTCGGCTATTATTTCATATTTCATATTTCATATTGTTATATTGTTATATTGTGCTCCGTATTCCGTATTCCGTCCCCTCTTATCTTTCTAGTATCGTCTACCATTCCCGCTTAGGCCCCCCTAGGGCTCTACAACATAGTAATAACAACATGTAATACAAATCAAGGCCGATTTTTGGGTCGTTTTGTCGTATACCATCATTCCCCGCGGAGTACGGAGTACAGAGGCGATTAACCTCCACCTATAGGAAGTGTGGCTGAGGGGGTCCCTGGGTAGGATCGTCTTGCTGCAGAGGACTGTGCATTGCACATCGTCATTTTGAAAGTATGCCGGATAGCGTTGTAGCACATCTGAAGAAAGAAGGATCCCTGTATACAATTTGACCCCAGCCCTCATAATTATTGGCTTTTAGTGAATATTACATCGAGAGGGGTTTGTCTAACTCCCCCCTCCCCCAATCTCCCTAGTGGTTGCATTGTGCACATCACTGGGCCTTAGGTTTCACGGTGGGAGATCTACTCCATCCCTGGTGTGGCGTTCATGGCATGATCACTATAGGTAGCGGTTACTTACTCCTGTTGGATATGTGTGGTGTGAGCATCTTGCGTAAACTGGATGTGTAAATGTATATAACGTACAAACTACTACCATGTACTACTTGAGTAAATTCCCCAGCTTCGGGATGTTTACAGTGTTCCCCGGAAATTATCTGGGGCCTAAAATAATGCAATGGTTTCCTGTTAGTTCCTTAACCTTGGCTTTTTTTTTTTGTGTCACGGCACTTAGTAAATCTAGGCAGAGAGATTATTACATGAGAATTATCATTATTATACTCTGTACTTCTGTAGGAATATATATTTAAATGCACTCTGCCCTATATAGTAATGCCATGCTAATGCTCATCTGCCCTAAGTGCGGGTATGTATACAACATACAACGGTACCGCTCGGGATTTGCAAGACCCCGCAAATGTTCAAAGGGGCAGGTGATAGGAACTTACAAATGGCTTAAGAATAATTGGAACTCCATACGGAGTATGTACGGAGTAATCCGGATATTAAAAACGGTATAATTTGACTACCTTGCTTACCGTGTCTGATAAAAAAAAAAAAGAGGTAAGGTATTACGGAGTACAGAGAGTACAGAGTGGGGGTGTTAAGTGGCAAACGTATCCATGGCCCATGATGGGAATTTATGCGACCACGCGGGTGTACCTGAGCTAAAGCCCGGGGAACCAAGAAAGGGGAAAATAAAAAGTGGGAAAAAGTGGCAAAAAAGAATAAAAAAAAAGAGGAATGGAAAGAACACATGGGAAAGAAAACTCTACCCATGAACTAGCGATCCACAAAC